GAGTTTCGAGGCCCTGGACTGGACTACCGGTACCGGTACCGACGCGTGTGTGGAGAACACACACGCGTGGATTCTTTGGTCCGATCATTCTCCGAGGTCATGGAGGGCCAGGTGGCCGTACGCATCAAGGTGACCATGCGCATGATGGGGAAACCCTCGTCGTCTTTCTTTTTTTTTGGTCCGGGCAGGGGTGAAGGATGGTGGGAAAGGCCGGGAACGCCGTAAGCTCGGATGTTTCGCTCTGAAACCTAGTTTTGTGGTCATTGTTCGAGCTGGAGTGAGAACCCTTCGGTATCTTCAGTACATCTATTGTATAGGGAACTGAAGGACCCTGATGAATTGACTACTGCCTCGAAAAGAAGAGGCGCACCAGGAGAGAGACCAAAGTTTCTTGCTTATATATGTATATATAAGGGAATCAGGGCAGGTCACTGACCCAGGATGACACAGACACTACTTACACCATTTTGCGCAACCCCTGAGCAACCATGAGCCAGATATAGCCAGATGATATATATATATAGATTTACAAATGGTATATATGTAGGCATATGTATACACACACTTGTTGCCTCTTGGGCGTAGCACTCAAGATTGCATTACATGCACCTGTGAACAGCCTCTTGGGGGTTGTGCCCTTTGCTCTGAGATCTTTGCAGTTTGGCAATTGACGCCATTTTTGTTTCTCTTGACGCATGCATGACGCATGGGGTGATCGTCAATTTCAACTGTTTGACACACCTGTTCTTCTTTCACTTATATACCGACTTCCCTACACAAGGGAGAGAGAGAGAGAGAGAGTGAAGACTTCTGGCACCCTTGTGGGGAACCTTTTCTTCATCCGCGGAGGCATGTTGAAGCTCTCTGAAGACACCACTTCCGACCTCCCTTTATGTAAGCTAGCAAAGAAAAAGAAGAAGAACACGACAAAGACAATACATATATATATATATATATATTATAACTATATATATACTATATATATAATATTATATATATATATATATTCTTTTGTGGGGGTGGGGAGGCACCCTGCCAACCCCGCGTCACAGACCTATCCAGATTTGAACAGTACCCCCTGGACATCTACGTGTACACACACACACACACCCTAAGACAGTGGACCCATCTTCTGATCTCCATCGAATCACCCACCGGGCGAAGAAAACCATCTTAAGGCGCTCGCGAAGATCCCCTATGGCGAAGACTTGCTGGTCTGGGATCTTACGACGAACTCCTCGCACCTGGCGCGGGGAGAAGTTTATCAGGGTCCTCTCAGTGCCCTCCAAGGCCCTTTCTTCCAAGGAAAGCATGCAAACACTCCATCTGCAGAATCTTCAAAAGAATGCCATGAGAAAGAATGCCAATTGGTGATCCCTTTGGGCGGGTTTTTCACATGTTTTCACTCCGGCCTTGGCCCGCGATCCTTGGTGTTGATGTTCAGACACTCACGGGCTTTGGCTTCCCTGTTGGAAGATCTGCAGGTCAGATGTGGGCCTTTGGAACTCATGGGTGTTGTTTTTGTTCCAAGAATTGACCGGCGGCAGTAGTAATTGCGTACATCATATTACATCCTTGGCTTAGGCCGGTGAATCCATACAAGTTTCCGGTGGAGGACCCTCATTCAATGTCAGAGATATTTGCCATACCCTCAGCTATTGAGGGACCCAACACTGTTAGGTATACTGTAGATAATTGAACACGACCAATCTCCATCAATCTCCTTGTCAGGATGGTGGCTTCCCTGTTTTCCTCCAGCTGCATGCACGAACCCTCCTGGACCCTTGTGGGCTCAGGTGTGCGGCTCGGTTCCCCAGTTGGGCAGTTGGAAATTGTGCGACGCAGCCCAGATGCACTGCGAGGCCATCGGTGGCAGGGTGGAGAAGAGCAGGAGAGAGGAGCCAGATGGATCATGATGCCAGATTGGACAATGAGATGTAAGAAGCACCTTTTGACTCAGACTCAGATCCTGGAATTGGAGATTTGGCTCAGGCTCGCATTAAGATTCACCAGTCGTGTTGTGTCGTGATGCCGAGTTGCGTAGTTTGGTGAAAGCGTTTGTTCAGAGTGCAGCTTGAGGTAAGAGGAGATTCATTTTAGGAATAGATACATTGCCATTGCATCATGAATCGGCACAAATAGTGGATCCTCCTCAAATCCCTAATGACAGTGCTTTTGCCTAGGGTCAGGACAGCTCTCAGTGGAAACCCAAAAGACATACAGAAGTTCAACCATGTTCAACCCAGCGTGAATCTGTATGGGCCATTTCAAACCAGACCTCATGAACAGGATCACAGCTTACAGACCCTTGCTACATCGCCTTTATTTCAGCTTCGCACATTGTCTCTTTCTCATCGCCCGAAAAGTCATAGAGAATTGTGGAGGGAATCCAGCAGAACGACTACTCCTCCAGGATCCACCCGCTCATCAGGTGGAAGAACTTTTTCTGGACGGTTGATCCAGTGCCCCTCCCATCATCACCTTCGGACGGTCTAGCTCGGAGATATCGAGGGCCACCCGTTTTGCTACGTTCCCAGGGCCAAGTGTGGTACCTGGCCACGCGCTTGCCCTGTGGCGTGCGGGTCGGGGTGCCAGGGCGCAGGGCTGCGCAGCGGAGTGATGTGCACCCCCCTTGGATGATTGGAAAAAGGGTCCTTTCATACTTGATGTGTAAGACGTGGTCAATCACGATTCATTCCCTGGAAGGCCATCTCCCACTACCTGTAAGAGATAGTTTCGGGACAGTCTGCTTGCCCAGCTAAGTGGAGAAGGGTGTGTGCGTGTGTGTGTGTTATGGTTCTTTTCGTCGACAGCAAGCATTGGCGATCTGGGCCTCAAGTTGCACCGCGGTCACACAGCGCGGCACGATGATGAGCTGCTGGATATACCGTTGGGTCAAACTGGTGGTGTTGGCAATTGGCAATTTGGTCGCCGAAAAGGAGTGTGACCAGGCATTCACTCATGCAGATTGGACAGGTCACGCAGAGGAAGTGCAAGAGAGATCACCCTCAATCCCCCCAATTCGGAGGCAGAGGGAGGATGGAATTGCATGCAGCGGCCAAAAGTGGTCACACATAAAGCTCCAGCGTGGCCACCTATTTGATCCTATGATAGGATCACATAGGTGGCCACGCTGGAGCCTTCGAGGGACTGCAAGCGTATTGCAGCGTGTTGTAGTACTTTGCGGCAGCGAATGGCCACCTCGAAAACTGTGACCAACGTATTGCTTGACGTTGAACATGTTAAAGCTGCATAAAGCTGCAAGAGCAGGTGAGAATTGCCAATCTGCTTGGAATGATTATGGTGAAGTGGTGCAATTGTTGCCGGAGGCCGGAGCGGTATCAGGTCACGGGTGACTGGGCATGCTGCTTCGCCACTTTGCAGCAATGAATGCTCATGTGGAGGCGGTGCGTGTGTTGCTGGAGGTGAGGGCGCCAGGAGCAGGTCAGTACATGAAACTGCTGCTGCATTTGGCAGGTCTGTACACGGAGAGACTCCAGCGGTGCGACGAAGTTGCGGTGCGAAGTTCTGCCAGAGAGGGTGAGATCACAGCCGTGCGGCATGGCCGCTAGAATTTGTGCAGTCACATTGGGCGGCATGGCCCACTTGGCGCTGGAGCCAGACTCAGACCTGGATGGACGGCTGAACTTCGGTGGCCGGGTCACCTGGACGTGTTGGACTTTGTTTGCTGGCGCCTTTGGCGATCTGGAAAGGACAGAAGACGAAAACAGCTCCTTTGCGTGGTGGCACCTGGTTGACCGGATCATGGCCACAAGTACCGGCCTCAACTCCTGTGCCCATTGGCAACTCTGAATGGATTTGCAGGTCTTTGTCCTGGTGAAGACGGCGAGAGATGAGCATACTTGAGCATGTGGACACCCTTCGCTCCTGCTGTACCTGCTTCGGCCCTTCATTCTCAGGGCCGAACATCGGCCAAAAGGACCGGCAGAGGAGGTCAGAGGATGCTATGATATGTTTTACTTCTCTATCTCTAACGCACAATGAACACATTGAGGCTCAACAGATCCGATGCCATGTACATCCACTTCAATTGAAAGCATTGACTTGACCGTAGCAGATATGGTTGCTGAACTCAAGCTGGACTGGTGTTTGACTAGCGCTGAGTATGCGGAAGTCGGGATCATATTTCATGTTCCTTCCACTCTTCCACCCACCAAACGGACGACCACGATCCCGAGTGTCGTCGGTGAGAAGTCAATATTCAACCTGGGCGCCCGTTCCTACCTACCTGGGCAGCTAAGGATGGCTAAGGGTCTTTGGCACGGAGTCTTCACGTATAAAAAGGGGCGCAACATTTGGTCCAACATTTCACACGCAGCTCGCCAAGCTCTGAGGTCTGAAAGTGTTTGAAAGTCAAAATTTCAAGTGGTTCCATGGAACCACATCCCCATCATCTCCTCCCTGGAGCGCCCTGTGGGGAGCAGCAAGTTTGACACATTCGGAGGTCAGCAAAATTCATCAGGGTTAGGCTAGGCCCAGGCCTTAGATAGCCTTAGGCTAGTTGGATTCGGCATCCGTGACAGATGGTTGGCCCTGGAAGAACCATTCTGAACGAACCATTCTTTATCATGGCAGAGTCTGCAGATGCCAAGGGTCACATGAAGTTGCTGAAAAAGTCGTGACTTCTTCCCCTCCGTATATTTGGGCAGGATGGGTCAAAACTTGGAGCCCCAACACCATGGAGCTTGAACCTCTCAGGTAGATCAACCAAAGCATCCTGAATCATGGTTAGACCCGTGGCCATATGGCGCACATCGTCCTCGCGAGTCTTGCAATCCGCAACGCGCAGACGACACGAATTGCAAACCCATGCACGCTCCAACGGAAACACATACTCTCCAAGTTGCATGCATTGTTCCAAAGAACGGTTTTGGCAGATGTTGGCAGGGAAATCCCCAAACGATTACCATGTGTTCTTTAAAGTGGTTCCCAACCACGGGTAGTGCCCATCTTCGGGCCCAAGACCGGCTGAAAAACCGATGGCGAAGAGCTCCTCGTCGGCCTGGCCGGACCTCTCCGCCAGCACGGTGCCTCAGCTCTCTGCCCACGTGCACCGCCTATCGCCGCCGCAGCGGGCGGCCGTGAGCGCCCAGACCGTGCACTTCCGAGCGCTTCGGGCAGAGGAGATGGTGCCCGCACCGTCGAAAGACGTGGTGTTCATTTATGTTTGGAATCATTTACATTTAAGTCTAATAACCGATGTTATATCAATCATCCAGGGTGAGAAATATAGATACAAATGGTTGGGTATATGATGTTAAAGTACGATTGGCTGTTCAAAAATGCGGATTCACTTATTCTTTTGCCTCACAGATCCCGCAGATTTGTGAAACATCTCCCTGTGGTTGGGTTGCTTGTCACCGTGTCCGATGAGACTCGATGCACATTCCGACCACACAGTCGGTCACAGAAGTTGGTACATTTTTTGGGGTGCGCATTTTGTGTTAATTAAAACATGGAATTTGATTTGGTTGGGTGATCGTCATTGTGAGCAGTAGGGATTATTGTGGGGATTGTTGGCGGGCTATCCACTGGATTTGCAAGGGGAGGGGCTGTGCTCATTCATGTCCAGCAAGCCCCAGGATATCGAAGAGATGATGGCCTTGCATGAAGAGTGGTTCCCACTTTCTTACGACCAGGATTTCTACGAGAAATCTGTGGGCGGAGAGTTCTTTTCCTTGGTGGCCACCTGGAAAACAGACCAAAAAAGATCCGAGGAGAACATCTTGGGCATGATCACCATCAGTACTGGCTGCGAACATCATTGGGATGCAATCGGACATGTCTTAGGTGTCGAGTGCGAGACCGCATGCCAGAGCGCGGAGGAGACTAAAGTGACTAAAAAGAGCTGTAGAGACCGAACATGTTGTTTCCAAGTACCTCAGTTTCGAGGCACCCAAGAGGTCTAGGTGGAGCTTAAGGGTTTCTCATACTGAAGTCAATACCAGCATTCTGCATGTGAGTGGATGGTTGCTATACTTTGAAACCCTTTGTAACATGTTTTCAGATGTTGCTGTATATTAGTAGCCTTTGCTTAGGACTGTTCATCCCACTGGCAATGACATATATTCTCTTGATGTGAGTTATTGAACACCAACCAACTATCAAACTTGGTGGCACTTTCTGAGTCCAGCACCACCTGGGGCGTGAAACGCAAGCGTGAAACGCTGCTAGGAGCTTTCCCCCCGTGCTTCGTGTCCGCCTACGAAGCACGGAGTGTTGGCTTACATCCTCACCCTGGGCGTGGCTGAGCACTTCCGGCGCCGGGGACTGGCGCAGGAGCTGTTGCGGCGCTCCGTGGAGCATGTGCAGGCCGGGTGAACCGGTCGAACCGTTGGGGGGAGCAAGAATGATGCGGATGTTCAGGCTGGATCACCCGGAACATCCTCCAAAATCCCTCAGATTCAACTTGTTCAAGAAGATGTAGTAGGTAGTGTAGTAGGTACATAATTAGCAACTCGACCTTTTGGGGTGTTACCTCCCGAGCTTGGAGTGGGCTGGGTGAATCATCTCCAGCGTGGCGTCGTCCACTCCGTCCACGTGACCGTTTTCCACGGCAAAACCTGGGATTATCTTCGACCCGATGCGGGCAACATGGGCATCAAATCATCAAACTGGTAAGGTCTATCAGAGTCTATCACGTATAACTACTTATATGTATATATCAATTATGAAGTGGAAACTACCTGGTTGTATATAGAGGAAAACGGTCATCTGTTTGGGGCCATGCCATGCCATCCACTTCCATGATGATGCCGGCAACTGTAAATGTCGTAATTCCCCGGCAGGTGACAGTCTCTTGACTGATCCTGAGATTTTGATGAAGTATTTCGTCATGTGTCCCACTGACGGGGAGGCATCATAACAAGCAACATCATGGTGCACCCCTGGACCCTTATTATGAAGCCGATTTCGGTCAGCCGTATTCGTTTTTGTCCGGTCCAGGAGCAGCTCCTGGAGGTCCAGGCGATCTTTCTCCATGTGGCAACCTACAACAAAGCAGCAGTTCAACTCTATGAGTCGTTGAACTTCTTTCGGCTGGAGCATTTTCCGGCCTTCTACCAGATCCATGGGTGGCTTGTTTCCATTGGTTTGCGAAGCTCGAGTGGATACAACTTTGGGGGAATATAGGTCATAGGAACACATGCCCTCACGTGTTTTTTACATGATCAATTCTTGCAAACCGCTGTCCGTTTGGTGCTTTTTTTGGATTTCGGGAGTCCACAGTTGGGAAAGCGCCCACTTCGGTCGAAACAGCCGAGCCCATGCGACTGACACGTGGCCTTTGCCGTGTTGCGCCTTTGAGCCCCCGCAGTGCAGGCTGATTCGAAGCAAACCGGGAAAGATAGAAAAAACATTAAGAAACATTGGTGTCAATTCTATCAGATTCTATCATTTATCCCCATCACCGAGGAAGTACTATGACTCCTACCTTTATGTCCTCTATTTGCATGAGAAGCCGCCCTGGAGAGTCCGACTTCGCCGTTGGGTGGACTCGTGGAGCCGCGGAACGCCGCCTGGCCACCGTGGAGCCGTTGAAACCGGGTTCACCGTCCCTGGGCGATCACACTCAGATGGCATTGGCAGCCCGTTTCCATCAGTTTGTTCTATGTGGATGCCATCTGAGTGTGATCCCCTAGACAAAAACACCTAAGAGGACTCAATCAACTTTGCTGCCTGGAAACAAAACGTCATGGAATCGTCATGAACCATTGAACCATGCATTCTTGAAATTTCAGAGCATTTTTCCTATGGAAGAGAGTCATGTTCCATTTCCTTCTGGGGGGTGGCAGGATGAGCCTATAGCAAAGAACGAGAAGAGCCAGCAGATGGATATGGTTTCACAATAGTGTGTCTCGGGTAGTGGTTTCTTGTGGGTCCGGCGATGCAGTAGAACTTGTTCATCAAGACTCCAAGGCATTGGAGGAGCCCGTGCCCCAGCTGTGCATTTCCAGCCATCGAGGAGCAGGATGGTGAATCGCCGACCTAAGCAGGATGGCCTTCGACCTTTAGGGCTTGGCTTGTGATGCCACCTTCAGAAGGCAAAGCGGTAGACTTCAGAAGGCAAAGCTTGAAACCGCTGAGAAGGGCAAGAACATCCATGCCTGACCTTGGAACAGCCGGGGCTTCGTGTGAATCATAGTATGATCGATATATACTATACGGCCTTCACTGCGCTGTTAGCGCATTGTTGCGCAGGCCGGGAGCACCAGACGCTCTCTCCAGGAATCAGTGGCAGCTCACGTTAGTTGGCATGGACGAGCCCTTGAAGGAGTCCGGAAGCCACATGGATCCACCTTTTGAACGGCAGAGAGAAGTTTTCAGCGATGGTGAAACGACTCGTGGACCATGGGACCATATGGGGACGATGGGAGGGGCCTCCCTTTGTTGAAACAAGTCGGACTGTGAATGTAGCAAAGGCTCGTGGATCATGAAAGAGGCTCGCGTGATCACATGCTTGTTTTCTCCCAAGAATCGCTTCTTGTCCTCCATTTGTGACGCTGTGTTTGCAATTCAACGGGCAACAAACCCCTTGTGGCCTTGTGGCTTCAAATCCAAATCAGAAGTGCATCAGAGTTTGCCACAACTGTTGCCATCCTGGCTTTGTGTGATGAAGCGATGCTGACTTCATGGCTTGTGCAAGCTGAGCTCACAGCTTGCTCACCAAGCCGAAGGTCGCAGCGACCACGCCGAACAAGCGCAGAAAACGGATCGGTGCACCGATCAGTGCGAGCCTTCCGATCGGTGCGGGTCCAGGGTACACCGAGTGTCCCGCATCGACTGTGCAGAGCCTTTGAGTGAATTCTTGGCTTTTGAGGTGCCATCAGAAACCTGCCCTCAAGTCACTGGTGGTTGGTCTTTGGAACATTTTGGAATGATGACGGGTCAATTTTCAGCTTTCGACCTGCCCAAGCCGGCGTGTTTGATGCAATTTTGGCTGGGCTTTCCTGCAAGTGCCCCGCCCTAGGCAGCTTTGTAGTGCTCAGCTGAATGGTCTGTTAGCCAACCAGGTCTCCCCGCCTGGAATCACATCCGCCGCGGTGAAGGAACATGCATATATATATATATATGTATATATCTATACCCCTAGGCCTCCAAGACCATTAAAAAAAAGGGCTGACCTGGTTTTTGTAGTGTAAAATCCTTAGTTGATTCGGTAAAGCCTATTAGATTGATGGTTGTTGGAAGCCTAGGGTATATATTCCATCCACTTGCTGTTTCATCCATTGAGACAGACGATTCAAACCACGAAGACACCGTTGATGGGTCGTTGAACTAGCTGAGGGAGTTGCTCCCTCCTACCCGGTCCCCCTCACCCAATCAGCTGTCAAACTTTAGTCCTCGACCATATCTCCCAACATGGCATACGGAACTCCCACCCTTTCAGAACTCAAGGGCTATGCTTCACTAGCTCAGGGAGGCGATTGCTTTGCACACTTTGGACCCCAGGTTCTTTGTTTGCCAGGTGCAGTGTTGCCCTTTAAGGTTCTATAAGATCTGTTGACAACTTGTACCATCCATCCATGGCTTCTTCCCATGTGTACATTTGCTTTTTTTTTTTCCCAAGCCCCTACCGCATGGGCTCAAAGTTTGGTCACTCTCTTGATCTATCCATTAAGAACAGTTGAACAACCATTCACATACCAACAGCACGATCCTTCAGCTCCGCAGCGCACCAGGTGGAGTTGAAGTTGGTACAACGCCCCCAGGGGGGGACAGGTCCATTGGCATGGTGGAGGGCCCTTTGGCTGCCTCTTTAGGAGGACTCACACGTCGACATGTTGATCCGCAGGCTTGACCCATTCGCAAGACTCAGCCCGTGAAGATCCGTGACTTGAATGAGTGCATCCATCCATGTCATCACTGGAGACCAGAAGGGAAGGTAGGTCATCAAGTGGACCTTCAAGTTGTTGATCCATCCTGAACAGACTGACATGTCATGACATGGAACTGGCGACTAGGCCCGGCGGCTAAGACTTGGAAGTTCATCGGGCCACTCCTACGTGCTCCTCTTTAGTCTTTCAGGACTCTTCCCTATAGTGGTGGTTTATAGTTATAAAGGATTGGCCCCCCAAAAATCTTCGGAGATTGAAGCCAGAGTAGCTCAGGCCCGGTGGCAGTGCCAATCTGGTTTTGGAGACTAGCATAGGCGCCGAGGGACCTGCGGCTGGAATGTTCTGCCGAGGGACTGGTGGCTGGAGATCATGGCCACCTTTTGATTGATATTAGCAGGAAAAGTCACAGCAACAAATCATTCGGGAATGCTGCACTTGGATTGCGGACATGATGCCGACCTTTGGCATTTAATGGTGCTCCACAGGCCAAAGGAAACGAGAATGTTGTGCTTTTTGATGCCATTCTGAACCATCAATCAAGGCACTTCAATGACATAGCAGCGTTCACAAGGTCACTAGTGATATCGACAGGTGAAGTTCAGTCTTTGATGCAAGTCCCCAGAACTTGGGAGATTCTTCCATCCAATATTGGTGTGTACCATCAGGTCAACAACTCTCGACACTGCTCACACCAAGCCACCAAAATGAACCCTGGGCCCTCATTCCAGAGACTTTTGCTGCATCAGGCTTCCCCGCAGACTTCCTCCATGGCCTGGACATACCCGGATGCCACTGTTTACTTGTTGTGGGTGATGCTTGGTCTAGCCTCATGTCACCAGGTCTAGCCTTCATGGAGCTCAGTTCGCATGGAGATTCAGATCAGCTCAGTTCGATTGGAAGACACTCCTTGGAATGATCATGGTTACGTAGAGTTCACCACATGCTCGTAGAGGATTTCATGGTCCTTCAAGGGGCCTTGGATTCTTGGATCATCCACGTAACCATGGTGATTCCAGCGAGTGTAGATGGTTTCTGTGCAAGCTTTGATCCTTAACAACGGCATGCCCCAGGCAGTGCATTCTCCTTGCCATACGGGACAACCATGTGTGACTCAGCGCGCCTCTCCGATCCGCTCCGCCTGACGACGGCACCCACTGTCCTTCATGATCAACTCAAGCTTGTCAACCCGTCATATCGCTTTTTAAGTGTTGCACGATGCTGCACGTGTTTGTTCAGGGCCCTTGGTCAACCGTCTCTAAAAGCGTCTATAAACCATTCTATACAGATAAAACCCTGCGTCTTTTCTTCTTACAATCGGAAAAGCATGATAAAACCATATGTTTCTTTCTGATTTCCATGGCAACATCCTCCACATGCACGTCACTTTCTCCGGCCTTCTCGTAATGTCCTTCGAGGCCGCATTGGTGCACAGGGCTCTCGCTTCTTGAGCCTCGACGGTGCGGTAACCGAGGAACGCGGGTGTTTCGATCCGTTTCGATATCAAGTTCCAGGAAAAATTCGATATTCAAGATTCATTCGGTGTTGGATTTTGGATGAGGTGGTATCAAACAAGGACCGTGTCCAAAGGGGTACAATGATGGTGAATGGGGATGGATTCTTGTCCGGTGTTTCATTTCATCGTCATCCTTTCACTCCATGAGTCGATGCAGCGTCGCAGCGGCCTGGGCTCAAATGAGTTGTCACTCCAGGGGCGCGCCGTCACGGCCAGGAGAAGGGACCCGACTCGCGTGGACGACGGAGCAAGACCCCGGCAGCCGCCCTACGGAGGATTTTTAAACATGTTTTGACCGATGTTGACCTGTAAAGTCTTGTGTTTTACACAAGGCTTGATCTGGCATAGCCCGTTATAATATTGCTATTTGTGGTTGGAATCGCAGGGTTGACTGGTTTCATCCCTCGTTGGTGTGACCACTTTTTGTTGGGCTAATTTTTGCGCACCTCCATGCCACATTGGATCCATACACGGCACCTGCGCAGATGATCTACAGATGATCTCCTGTCAAAGACGGGATCATGTTTCCTTCTAGACGCTGGAGAGCTTTCAGCCAGCCTGGCTGGTTTAAACCTTGAAGGCTGTCAAACAGTGGAGAAACGGCAGGAAGGTGGCTTGATGGGTTGAACTCGTTTGTATATGACCGCCGGCATTGACTTCCCTCCCACTGCCATCATCGACAAGGACTGAGCCGGCTGAGCACCCACAGTGGTGGAGAGAGTCATGGGAGCCGTGGCTGAGCCGCAGGTGGCGGGTGGCTGCGTGGCACACGGCCACCGTTTTCAGTGGGAAAGACATATATATATATATATATATGGATCATTTGAAAACAGGGTTCTTGGTGGGGTAGCTGGGTCAACTGAATCAAAAGGGTTTGTCTCGTGCCGGCGATGGCAATCAGTGAATGTTGAAGATTTCTCCAAAAGCAGGGCTGTCATATATGACATTCTTCCGTTCCTGCTTCAATCTGGCGGTTGTAATAAACCCGACTGCCCCAAACCACTTTTGAATTTGAGAGGTTTTGCTTGGGTTCTTGGACGGCGGCTCCCAAATGCAATGGTTGTGGTGGTTCCGGTGCCTATGCCCATCTCCCGATGACCTTTGGCTTTTGCACCCCAAAGCACCAGCTGAGGCACCCTACATCCCAGCCGGGCGTCGCAAAGCACGATCAGCCAGCCACGCCCTGGCCCTCCTGGAGGCGAACGTGGTTCCTTTTGGGGGGTCTGTTCGAAAGCTGCAAGCTATTGGTTGGTTGCATTCAAGATGCGAAGGGTTAAGGCTCCAATCGGGTGAATCCGCTGAATCCGGCTTCAGCATGCGAAGGTTTTTCTCCTTTCATGGGCTTATAAGTAAGAATGATGTGAGGGTCCAGTGGTTGATCGGACCCTCCATGAGCGGCTGATAAACAGACCCCGGGTGCTAATGAAGAGAATCGAGAGCAGAGAATTTGCCCGGTGCCAATTGTTGAGGGTTATGGCATGTAGTAGACGGAAGAAGTGAGCCAGGTAAGAACAAGTGAACGCAGTGACACCCAATATGGCTGCGGGTCAAAACCGAGGTACGTGGGTTGACCACCAAAAAATGAACAGAATGGACTTCCTGGGAGGTCAACCTACCTTTGTTTGGGGCTCCGTTTTTTGGACCCACAGCCATATAAGTATAATATGAGTTATGAAACATATCATATCAATGTATATATACTGTAACTGTATTACTAATACTTGGATGTACTTGTTCAAATCACGGTGGCAAGAAGCTCCAACCCAAGAGTCAGCTTTGGCCATCAGATACTTCAACTCTTAGTTGATGATGGTCTTGGGGTGATGAAAGCCGGCGATGAGAGAACAGAAACATCCGGAAGCCCAAGTGGACCAAAAAATACTGGCTGGAAGGAAAACACAAGTCCGCATGAATGAAAAGCTAAGTTATCTATCCCTAGACATCCCTAGACCATCCTGTTTGGGTGTCCAATGGGCTAATCTACACTACTTGGCGGTTGCCATTGGACACCCAAACAAACAGGATGGTCCTGGTCCAACTTCGATGATGTTTTTTCATCTATAGGCACCTTCAGGTAATCCCGCAGTGCTGGCAACAGTTTTGGGGACATGAATTTTGGCAGCATCTTGTAAGCGCACTGCTTCTACCTTTGGCTCACTCCCTCGAAAACACTGTTACTGCCCCCCCAATTAATCGTCAACGTCACCTGTATGGCAGCCCGGCAGTCAGTGCCTGTTCTTGCCGGCGGGTGTGTCTACCTATCAGACTGTGACAATGGCAAACAATGAAGAACGCCTTGCTACAATATCCCTTGGTGTTCCCAACTAGCCACAACATGAACATGTGTACTCCCACTGGCCTCCTTACTTCAGGATGACCACAACTTACTCCCGAGGTACGCTCAGGGGGTTGACCGTGTCCCCGTCCTCACCAGGATTGCCAAGCCTTGAGCCAGCGGCCCCTCGAGCCGCGCCACGACTCACGGCTGAGGTGGAAGCATGTGGAAGCATGCGGGTTCGCATGGAAAAAGGCTGATCCACAGGAAACCTAAGCCTCAGCTACATTGTCATCCGATCCGGTGTCATTTGTGGATTTATTTGGCTCTTTATTTGGGGTGGGATCCCTACAAGCGATTTGTTTGACGGCCGTGTATCCTCGCGACTTCGGTGGCTGTCCCGACTTAGAGTTAGTGCACAGCTCCTTACCTCCAAAAAAGGGTGCCAAAAAAGCCGCAGATTGGTGTCCTCTCAGTCCATTTGTTGTGCCCAAGCGTGAAACACCCCGGACCAAACCCTCCGGTGTCGAAATGCTCGTTGCTCGATCGGTGCAGATCCTCAGCAAGCTGAACCGAGCGACCCCGAAGTCCTCGGCCAGCGCCAAGCTCGTGGCGGCGATGGGCGCTTCCTCAGGCCGAAAGACGACATGGGGTTTTGACCAAGTGAGATGTGGAAAACACGATAAAAAAGCGCGATAAAACGGAGGTCAAGGGGTCTTCATTGGCTTTAACATGCTAACTGTAACCATGCTATACCATACCTTGGGTCTGTACCATTGCCTGTAACAGTCGGTAGAACGGTAGAAGATTCTCACTGTGTATATATATATATAATATATATATATTTATTTATTTAAGAGAAAGGCATTATAAGACATTTACTTGCATGGTAATGGGACAGACCCATGGGCCAGGTGCTTGGTGAAGCATGTTTGTTCTTCGGTCTTCCAAGCTTCCCCGGCGATCCTGTGAGGGCGCCGCGGCTCAGAGACCTCTCAGCGCGTGGTCTCCCTGCCACCGTTGCTGCCGCGCGCGCAGGCCGCGCGGCAGGCGTCGCAGGCCGTAAACGCGCCAAAAGATCCGCGGAGATTGGGATGAAACGCAACAATGTACAGAGGCAAAGATCGATGGGAATCTTGGAGGATGATGGACATGATTTTGACCGTATAAAACGATATGTAATTTAATTGTTGTGCTTTTGTGCATAGAGGATCTATTCGTGGTGGGTCGTCGGGTCGTAGACTGTTTGGCTTGATGGAATGGGACACCCGACCTCGATGTCAAGGTTTCAGAAAAGCTAAAGGAGAATTAGGAGGTTTTTGAGAGCTCAAAATGGCGGCGGGTTCTGGGGTTTGAATCTCGCAGATGGAGCTCACCACAGTGAACGTTAAGCATCCAAGAATTGAGACGTTCTTTATATTATGTCTTTCTTATTCATGTTGAATTCTTTTGGGTGTACTAAGATGCTCGATTCAGCTTAGATTGCTGCACTTCTGGGAGGAAATGCCATAGAACCAAAGCGCCATGCCGCCCAGGCCGTGGTGCCAAGGCAGCCTCCACCCCACCCCGCCGGTCCTTCAAGAGAGCTTGCACCCGGGCAGAGCAGCCGGAAGGAAGGAAGTGAGCCACTGGAAGGCCGAGCAAGGAGTGGCATCCTTAGACTGCGCGGTTCATGGGAGGGTTTGCCATTGGGACCGCTGTGGTTTAACATGTTTTTCATAAATTCGTGGCTAAAGTTAAGGAGGAAGATGGAGATTCTGCCAAGCCTTCATGAATTCATCGCTGGCTCTCCTCAGGCGCTGTTCCACCCGCACGGAGCGCACCTCGCGCGCCTCGCGCGCCGGGTAGCCGGAGCGCGGCCGCGCGGCGCAACGATGCTCCAGTGGTCGGGCTCGACTGGTCGTCAGCCAAGGCGCTGGATTGGGTACGATTTCAAAAGACACCCCAAGTGATTTTTGATGTCTAAGTGTTTAAAGTTTTCATCATAACCGCAGTTTCCTATAGTATAAATCCGCCCATCGCCATTTGGTTTCAATCGCCCCCACTGCCGGGTCTACCCGAGCCGGTGAGGCTTGGCATGCGACCGAGCATTTGTTGCAGCGCTTGGTGGGGGGCGCCTCCCCACAGCCGCCACAAGCTTGTCCGCACTGCCGGAGAAAGTTCCTGAGTCGAGGAGATTCAGCCGCGAGCAGCCGCGAGCGGGGGATCAAAGGGAAAGAGTGGGAAAGACGGTGTCGTTTCAGAGAGGGTTTGTCACAAGTATCAGACATATTTAGGACCCGAAAATATCGTATGAAATTGTTCTTTTGGCTTAGTGGAATCTACCAAGCAAGGTATTTGGGCTCTATGATGCTCTAAGTCTTTTGCGTTCTTTTGGCTCGTGGGATTCTGCGCCCTCCGCTGTTTCAGCGGTTTTAAATCCACAGTAGCTATCCTGAACACCAAGTCTGCTACTGCATCCTGCGCCTCCAGACTAGTAGACTCCTAAAGTCCTGGAGGATGGGACATGGATGGGTGGCTAGTGGAACGAGCCATCACTTCCAGGACAGAGTTCCTTTTTGGAGATGATCACCGTGTTCAATTGCCCAAGTTGGTGTTGCTGAAGGTGATTCTCTTGGTATGTTCCTTATTACAGTGGGATTTCATGCCCTTCGGAACGGTTCCTTAAGCCAACCACAGTCGTGTTCGATGGTCATGATCGACTCAGGTTCCAACCACAGTCTCTGACACGACACGCCAACGTGTGCGTTCACGTCTTCCAGAAGCAGCGGAAGGCGCCATGCAACATGACCTGAGGACTTTTGACCTTTGTAACGTTGAATACTTAAAGACTTAAAGATGTTCCTGACTTAACATTACTTAACAGTGGTTTTGATTGTTGCTGACTTTAAGTAGCAACATGGATCAAGATGGAACATTAAAACATGTTGATGATTTGATACTTAAAGTATCTTAAAGTCAACGCCCTTGAACAGGCAAGATGACAGTCCCGCCTCGAGAGAGAGGCAACATGATTCAGTGACTGGGTGATGTACTTCAAAGATCTTCAAGTGGATTTCCAACCCGCGGCCTCTTCTTGCTCTACTTTCGTGCGAATGTGCCCCCCAAACTTGATAAAACTTGTGCCACATGCTCCCAAAACGTGGCTTTGAACGCCCTGTGGTCAAGAGAGGGTCGGGGTGGTACCACTATTCGGCCATGTAGAAACGACTGATTGACTAAGAGAGGACATACCCGCGACGGGCTTCAAGCAGGCATGGGATAGGCACCCTATTCAGGCGGTTTCAAGTTCTTCTCACCTCAGGCTTATAGTGGATTGAGAGGACCAATGGCACAGACCCCAATGTCGGTGGTTTATATGGACCTCCATCTGCGTCAGGTCGCGCGTCGGTGGATGCGAATGTGTTGTGTGGCATAGAACTGCCCAATTCGGTTGATATTGTAGATGTGTCATGATGTACAAGAGCTTGACTCGTGCCAAGACAGCTCTCACTTGTCAATCCACAGAAATCAGATTTGCTACATTGCACAAAAAATTGACTCCAAAATAGCCTTTCCCAATTGATGTTTTAACACCTACATTGGGGTGAGGGTGGTTTGAGGTGTCAATGTAGGATTAAGTAGGTCCGTAGGTGTATATTCCATACGTGGAGTGTTTGGGTTTTGCAAGTGGACAATGCTTGGCGGAAGACGTTCCATCAGTTTCGTTAACAGCTGATAGACAGTGTGCTGATAGACAGGGTGACTTCGTTTAGATGCAAAGTACGGTGAATCTCTGATGAACACCTATGCCCTGGGAGTAGACTTTAGTTCGCGATAAGCTTAAGGCAATCTAAAGTAAATGCATATTTAGCCTTGTGACTTCCAGGGTTTGAACATCATTTTGATCCACAATTGCTCATTATGGGGTAGAACGGGGAAAACAACCCCAAAGAGCGTCCCTTCGAAGCCTCGACCAATTGGTTTCCTCATGCGTTCACGCTTGCGCCAGGCCTTTGACGCCTTGCGCCAGCGAGTGCCACTGGAGCTGCTGACGAGGGTCCGGCGACAGAAGCATCGTCGCGAGGCCGACGGAGGGTCCGTGCCCGACCTGGACCGACCAGCAGTTCCACAAAGGGATTGGACAAGGGTGCGCATCAGACATCCACTTGAGATATTCTGAGATCAGCCGTCATGGAACCAGATTGTTTGAAGACCCTGGAACTGAATATGTTGATGCTATGTGCGGGATAGGGGATTCTACTGAGTCGATGGGCACAGGAGCGATGGAGTTTCATCCCAATGCCACGAGGATTGTGTGCCAGATGTTGTGTGGTCGGATATTTGCTTCCTGATATTTTGCAATTAATGATTTCTTGATATTTATTGTACATAAATATGTGTGGTACATTGATTAATATATAATATATATAATATATGCGCAAGACCACAATGGGATGGAGTGAATGTTTCCGGTGCACAAACTCAAGAAGATTCAAGAAGATAAGATGTGACAAGAAATGCGACTCTTGTCCACTCAGTGTATGTCAAGCCCATTGTTTTCCTCAGGTTTTCCGGCCCATGATCTCAAGGTTTGGTGGTGGTCAAGCCGGATCAATCATTCATCAAGGCTCACCAATGCTCACCAACATAAGCTTCTTTGTTCCCCAGATAGCTGGCAACTCTGGGGATTTTTACTTCCCCATACTTGACTTCGGCCCTGATAGCAACTATTCTGCCTGGGAGCGAACTTGGAGTGGACCCAGGAACTTTGTATCGCAGTAGTCCCAACTTCTGGAAAAACACCACCTTGGAAGCTTTGCTGGAACACATTTTATGCTTTGATCTCGACTTCCACCTGGAGCATCCTCGATCTTTGTGACACGGACCGCACCTTTTCACCTCCGTCCTATCCAAAGTGCTACCTACCTCTCCACCCGGTATGGTTCAGCTTTTAGAGGACGTCCACTTTGGGGTTTCTGTTCGGTTCTCCAACTCGGTGGATTGCAGCCTTGGCCATTTCTGACAGGTGTGGAGGCTTTGGGATAATGAACTCCCGCACATGGTGGCGATTACCCGGTATACACCCTTCAGGCCTATACCCCACCAATAAAAACAAAGAGCGCGCGGAATCCCGCGCTTGCAGCGCGATTCGGAGCTTCAAAAAAGGCGTCGCCGCGCGAGGTGGGCCGCATCCCCTCCCAATGGCGGCAGCGGAGCAAAGCCTTCCGCACGGCGATCCGCGAGGCGCGAGCAGCGAGCCGCTCGGCCCATTCGGCAGCGGCCCATTCGGCAGCGGCCTACGGCGGCAAGGGCACGAAGGATCTTCCCTTTGCCATAGTAGCTCCTGGCATCGCTACTAGTAACAAATAGTAACAATTTACTTAGTATAGCTAGTGAAGGGATGATTTGGGATTGCGTTCTTGAGATTCGCCCTGGGGCCCTTGGGCAAACTTTACCCACTGTTCCCTCAGGTGTGTTCAGGTTCTGTATCAATCTTCAAAGTAATCAGTATAGTATAGCTATATTGAATACGCCTGCCAAGCGTTAGAAGATAAACATGTTAGAACCATGAACCTGAACTTGCACTAATGAATTTGTGACTCTCTCTGCTCAGCTCTTTCTGGCTCGACTGGCCCTCCGTATCAAGCGGCTGTGTTTTCCAGCTGCTACCATTAATAGTACTGCTGCACGTTGTGGTCTACTGAGCCTATCCGGCCTATCCCAGTTATTTTAGATCCATTGGCCAAAAGCTCCACAAGGGCCCCTTGGCCTCTTTAAGGGCCAGAACCTGGGCAGTGCAACAACTTCGCAGGAGAAGGATCCATGGTCAACGCCTTTTGTGATTCCGGATGCTAAGCTGCTCTTTTGTCCACAGTTCATTCGGTGGGCACCTACGGTGGCATTTTCAAGTCGGGCAGCGCCCTGGAAATTTGACCACATTGGCAGAACTTGAAAGCAAAGCTGCTTTGCGGATGATGTTTGAGTCGGATTGGGTGAAGTTAGTCGTGGTCCGTGATCCGTTGGATCGCTGGCGCTCAGCTTATTTTGTTGAAAGGGGCAACCAAGAACAAGCGCCGCCCGCGACACCGACAAAAAAATCAAAAAACAATTGGCGGATGCACTGAATATAGACCAGTTTCCGCCCTGAGCAACTTGAGCTGTGCCGCGTTGGTGAGGAGAATCGAGGCTCAAATGAAAAAAAACAATTGATTAATGTCCACTGGATGACGCACGCCGGAGCATGTAGCCTAAAGCATCTCGATGGTTTCATATTATTTCAAGAAATCTACCAGTATGTGCTGCACATGGGCATTGACAAGACCACCCACCCCGCTTTGCGTGATTGCGTTCTTCGGATCATGACAAGTAGACTGCGTAAATCACGGCTCTCGACCCTGCAACACATTGTTGTCTGAAAAAAAAGCAAAGCAAACTAACAGCGCATGAGACTAATTCAACCCTTGAGATAGTTCTGTGACCAGGCTACTTGCAACCGGGCTCTCAAATCTATGCAGAAGATTCTGAGCTTTACCTACTTGTCCCAAGACTTCTCACATGTGAGGTGGCCAGTGTAGATGTCTCTTCTATGGACTCCGAGACTGACTGCGCACAGAGGACAGCAGCAGATTGAAAGATCAAGGCTGATCAGCTCAACACAGAGCTTTCAAAAAGGGCATTCCGGCATTTGTGGGGCCCTGCGCATTTGACTTAAAGCCTTGATGGTCAGACTGTCAGACATGATGAAACAGATGATCCTTTTCCTGGATGGACCGGGAGGCAGGATGCATCACAAACTGTGATTCGCAGTTCCCTGCAAATGCAGCCCATCCCTTCCTAAAGGGGGTCTCTTGAGCAGTGTGAACAACAACTTTTTCATTGGGGGGGGTGCTGAAAATGCAATGCAAGTCCACCAGGTTTCTGCATCTTTGGTCCAGCCACGAAACGTCAATGCGAAACGTCAATGCTTTTCCTCGCCTCAGCACTGTTTTCCCAACGTTGGACTGTTCAGTCGAATCGATAGCGACCAAGGCAAGCAGAACATCCCTGCAGCTGTCCCTTTTGGAATACACTCTGACTCACTAACATGGAAGTGGATGGCATGGCCCCTGTGAAGACCATGAAATCCTCTATAAACATGTCCTTTTCCATTTCCATGCGACGTCGTTTTTCGTCCCATTTGAGTGGGGGTGGCTGGTTGATGGGTCGAGTGAAAGCCCGCATCTCGCCAAGGTCTCTCGAAGGTACGGCCGCTGCGGCGGAATAGTGCTGGGGATTCTTGGAACAAATGTGCGGTTTGGCGCGGAAACCGATCGTATAAGAGGACGCTAAGAGAAAAGAGGTGATGCTTGGGTTTGAACACACCCGCGGAGCACGCAGAGCTTGAGGTTACAGAACATTTTGACGAAGAGCCATCGATGATTTCTGCATTTTCCTCATTTAGATCATTTAGGCAACCTTCAGAGACACCCACAGACAGCTGTCCACCTGCACACTCTGAGGATTTGGATGAGAAATCGCCCTGCCCCCACTGCGGCCGGAAATTCACTGAGATTCACTTGGCAAAGCATGCGCCTGTGTGTCACTTGGCTTTGACTCCTGAAGGTCGCTTGAGGGTTTCATGGGGCAACAAGTTGGGTCAAACCGGCGCGATTTCACCGCATGGAATTGGATGGATGGGTGAAAACACCCCCCCCCAGTCACGCTCCCATGGGCCCTCGGCCCTGGGCCCTCCCTCGTTGGTCGCGGCTCATTCGCTCTCTGAGGTCGGGCGCAGGTGGGACAGAACGCGGTGACCAGGGGGCGAGCCATGTGACGAGTGAACCGAGGGTTTGAGAGCTTTGGGAGGGTGGTTTTTTGGGGAAGATGTTCGGATGGGTGGACACCTGGAAGAAGGATCATGATCTTCCTTGCTTTTTGAAACAGGTCTTCGATGACATGTTCTCTCTACCCGGGGCGTAGTAGGGGTGTAGACTTGAGAACATCATTCAAATTGGGAGTCAATTTGTATGTTTAAAAGACTACCCCTTTCGAACTCAACTCGCGGGATCTCGTCGCAGGATCTCGCTTGTGTTGAGATCAATTGGATTGCTGAAGTTTCGAGTCATGCGCTGTATTGGTTCACTTCCTGAAATGTTGGAATCCCTGTTCGACCTGGGCTTTTGAGGTCGCAAAAGCTGGAGAAATCCATGCCATGGATCCAATTGACACCTGGTCTATGGAGCAGACATCCGCCCCGTTTCGAGAGTCTACTGACACTGGGGCCTTCCTTGAGATGTCAATAGGCCAATAGGTGCACACGCATACTAAACAATGTATTGCTATATAAGTATATATATATATGTATTATTATACATAAATTGCCGGACTCTACAGAGAGAGGGAGGTATGTAGTGTGTGTGTATATATATATATTCAAGAGGCTGTTGGGATTTGTTGGGCGTGGAGTGGTACCTTGTTGCTGATGAGATGGTCCTGATAGCCGCTGGGGCGGACTCTTCAACCTACAGATTTGCTCTCAAGATGGGCAAACGGGAGAGGAGAAGTGAATACCCCTTGTTTCGTTGTCATGGGGTCCTCTATGTTTGAGAGGTGTCCATAATGGCATGGTAGGCAGCATGTAGAGGGTCCGATGAAACACAGAACCCTTTGGCATTGTCGATGCCAATGAACTAGAGCAGAATGTTTCAAGCACTTCGTCTTCTAGATAGGTCGCAAGTTGATTGGTTTGCTCGGAGACGCTGTGCATCTTGGCTAAGGGGAGTCAACACCCCGAAATCACACCATATCCGTCCCATCATGCAAGAGTGGAAGGCTATAAGACCACCATTTGAACGGCTCAGCCCGCACGGCATTTGCGGTTTTCAATAAAAGACATCGACCCTGACCCTGCAACCTGCTTTATGAGTCTATGAGAGACTCTTCAGCCTTCAACCTGCGATGCACGGCGATGCATGGCCCACTTGGTCAGGTTCCTCTGGTTCAACGCGTGGCGCAGACGCGGCCAGAGAACATCCGTGCAGCTGGCTGACGCTTGGCATTTGTCTTTAGAGCCTCGGGGCGAACGAATCAAAGCAGAATGAATCTACTGGGGGTATCAGTTGGAAGAACCGAGTCTACTGGGTCATGTTTCCTTGGGATGCCTTGCGTGTTCATTTTAATGTGTCGGCCTGGAGAGACGCAGACGCAGAGAAACTCACCAACACTCATCAGTTGCTGCTGCCGGATGTTCTTTCGGAGACGCACGTGGACGCACCTAGAAAGACCTGTGTGTGGGATTGTGTGGGTCCATGCTAAACACCCTCAGACACTCGCCCAGAACCATGCGCCATGATGAAACGAGATGAGACGTTCCCTGTTTCTTCGTGACCCGAAGGACCGACGCCGCGCCCGAAAACCGCGCTTCGCCGTTGAGGTGCTGTGGGAGGCGCGCACGACACGCGGCCGTGGTGAAGGAGCCACCGGTCTGGGTCTCGGGGATCTCCGTCCAGCGGCTGTTCCTGCCCCGAGCAACGAAACATATCCTAGTCCTCTAGGTGAAAGCGGATCTTGTAACTTGTCAAGAGGATTTGTTTAGGTGAAAGACTGTTGTTGTTTTCTTGTTTTTTAAATGATGTCTTGTAACTTGTAACTGTTTCTCGTTCGCGGCCATCAGGTTGACTGGGTGAAACGTCTATCAGACATGATGTTTCAGGTTTAGGGTTTAGGGACCGTTCGCTGCATGGAGAGCCGGGCCGAGTCGTTCCTCCTCCTTCCAATGTGGAAAATGGTGAATCCTGGAAACCGCAAGGCCTGGAGAGGAGGAGAGGGCCCAACAGATTGGGATCCGGAACAAAATGCGAAGGAATGTTTGTCAATTATATGGTTAAACATGCTATAACATATATGCGTCACAGGCAGGCAGGCGGGTCCATGAGTTTCCGCCCGTTTTGGTTGGCCTTGGGGTACGACACGAAGGTCTCACAGACATGTAGTAGATGACTGACATCTCCTGCCTTCTCATGCAGGAGCATAGAGTCTGGCACAGAATGCACTCCCGAAGCTCAATAATTATATACTTCATCGGACTTATCCAGTGTGACTTTCATCTCAAAACTGTTGGGAGTGTCGAATCTCAGCACGAGATGCCCGATGTCGGTGATACTTGCATCACAAACCTCTTACCTGCAAACATCATTGCAAGCATCACCTACCCGGAGCATTTGACGGCGTCATTTTCAACCTGTCTCACCAAAGAATTTGCGCGTGTTTCTAGGGAAACATCCATAGACCCTGGTCATGAACCTACCCGAAGAATTATAGTCAGCGTGTCTTGTGTATGCATCTATTTTGCAACACGTTCCCATAATAGTTCTTTACATCGCTTTGGCTGAGAATTGCTGAAGCATGAGCCACCCCACCGAAAATAAAACTGAGACCTTGAATATAAGTCTACAAAACGACCCGCGTGGTGTGCCCCGGAGCTTGCTGTGGGTATGTTCATTGGGGTTTATGGCCTTTGCGATCGTTAATGACTCCGCTGATCCGAGCCGCGCGAGTGGAACGTGCACGGTGAGCTCGAGCAGCGAGAGGATCAAAAGGGCTCAAGAACCGGCTGGGTCAGGGACGAGTTGGGGACGAGCCGGGCAAGTCACGGAGGATGAAGGAGTGTTTTCCAACATAGAATAGACCCCTAAGTAGGTAGAACAGTAAAATCCCTTTCAAAATTATCGGAAACCGTTTCATACCTTTTCTATCTATGTGGGGGCCACATAAATCTATCAGTAATTTTGGCGAAAAAGATGAGACAAGCGATCAGGTGAGCTTGCAAGTCTGAACAGACAAAGAGGCGAGCACCTTTATGTCGTCACCGTGCGCTTCGCAACCTCCACGACGTCCGTCCGAGCGGTTCGCCGCGAGCGGTCCAGAGGCTTCCCCTGGCATTTAGACGTGGAAGATCTTGGACCTGAGGAAGCTCAAAGCCGCTTGGAGTCGACTGTTGGTCCGGTGTTTTAATGTCGACGGGGGCTTGACGGCTGACAAAAAACCGCTTGGAGGGACCTCTTTTGAAGTTCAGTGTTGACATGTGCCCTTCACCAGTTAAGCCTGTAACAAGTCTTTTTGTCAACAGTTCCCATATGTTGCATGCTTGGCGGTGATGATTCCCGTGCTCTCAACTCACAAGCAGGCAGCAGGATAAGGGGCCCAAGAATGCCCCAAGAACAGTCCCCAGGTCGATGCAGGCTGTATTGCACAAATAGGCCCACTGCCCACAAAGCTCGAGGCAGGCTCGTCGATGATTCGATGGTACCTCACAGATCCTCACACCATCTCACACCACTCTCCATGCCCTCCAGGTTTGCTTGAGCATGGCACTACCTGGCATGTTGGAGATGGGGCGTGGTGGGGTTGAAAATCTGGTGCAGCCAGCCAATAAACATCACCAGACTGGGAATGCGCGCTGTTTCTTTAGTTCCAATATATAGCTTATGGCATATTTGGTTACTTGGCCGTTCTTGGGACCACTTTGTGCCTGCTGGCTTACCTGTTAAAATTCTTGGTATAAGTCTACATATGTCAGCCTGCTTGGAACCTGCTAATGCCCAGATGGACATTTTCCAGAGCTTTGTGCACCTGGCAGTCGGGTCCTGACCTGGAAAATACAGGTCCAGTCCGAGGTCCAGTCCAAGGAGACGATGAGAGCGACCCTTTCAAAAGCACTCAATAGTCGAGTTAAATCTGGTGAACTGGTTGTGATCAGAACTTTGGTTGCTCTTCATTCGGACCCTCCAGATTCAGAACAAAGGGCAGTAATACCGGAAGTAGTGCACTAAGACCCACTTGAAAGAGCGAAAGACAGGACGTACAGGTCACATGACGTATCATGACATCAACTTACTGGAGTTCTTTGGGTTCCAATGGCTCGTTCCTACACTATTTGTATCTATTTGTATCTATTTGTTGCTTGTTGCACCTGCTGATGGGCTGTCATGTCTTCACGTTGTCAGGGCTTCGGTCCGTTCCGGATGACCTTCATCCAATCGCCGTCCTCCCCGCCCGTCCTGAAGACCACACAGATGGGAGGGGCCAACCTGCCATGGCCCGCCTCAAATGAGGAAGGGCCAGCATGGAGCCAGCATGTAACAGCACGCTTCCTGTAACAAGTTTTTGGTGATCATCATAAGGAGATGGAAAGAGCATGATGATCCGACGAGTTGAATGAGTAAGATCGGACCCAAGATCGGACCCCATGCACAGGTTTGTTATCCCTCTAAATTGAGACCTGAATTTGAGTCATGTCAAAAGGACCAACACCAAATGATTGGACGTGCCGGTAGGACCCTCCATTCTTTGATCCAAGGGCACTGACCGTGACTGAACTCTGCAGTATATATATATTATATATATAGTCTGTAGTTCTCGAGACGACAGACGACCATTTATGACATTTTGTGACCATGTCATTGATTGAGAGGGTTCCATCTTCTCCGGCCCCGCCTTGACTTTGTGCACCTCACTGGGTCTAAAGAAGCGGCATTTTCCGAGCCATGCCTGCTTGGAGGCGGGGCCGCAGGGGGAGGATGCAGACAGAGCGTAGTCTCAACGAAGGTCAAAAGAGGGGACAATGGTTGACCAGTGATAGTGATCAGAATAGACTCTACCTGGGAAGTCCACCTACTGTACAAGGGGCATGTGATTCCCAAAAGCTGTTACTGGTAATTGCCAACATCTTCAAGATTGGGAAGGACCACCTATTCTCCCCCAATGACACGGCTCCAGACAAGCCATGAAAAGCCCTAGGCCAAGGCTAGCCTTGGCTTGCTTGGCCTTGGCCATCCGCTGGCGCCCCGATTTCGTCAGCTTCAAGGGTCACCGAGGACAGCGAGGCCTTTAGCCGGGTGGGGTGTGGAACTGTCGGCGTTCGGAGTGGATCTTCGCTGCGTGCGGTGTCGATCTTCGGCGCGGCGGGTCTTCAAGGACGAAGAAGGTCCGGATGTTGTTGTGTCCTCAGGCGCCATGAAACATCAAGGTGCTTTCAGGCTCCAGGACAGGCACATGATCCCCATTTGTGTTGTTTACTCTGGGTGGTTTCCGGGTATGTAAAGCTCAGGCCGCCTTCAAGCATCATGTAAGTCATTGTAAGTCGTATGTGTATGTGCTGCCTTGTGTTGCCAAGCGCCCTAAAGTGACCTAGGCCTGCAAACAACTTATGTATGGGTTTATGTTGGCTTTGATCATTTGTGTCGAAACGTGTAGATCCCTGGCTGCTAAGATCCCTGGCACGCTGGCAGGCCATGTGGCGCGTGCAGCGAAGGGGTTTGGCGCCCTAGAGTGATGTGCTGAAAACTTTGACGTTACTAGGTGCTTCCACTGCAAAAGTCGGAAAGTACAGGCAGGGCAACTCCCTCCCGGCTTCCCTTTTAGTTTTGCGCCCACCAATTGGGTCTACATGCAACCCTCAGCTGTCACACGACCATGTATCATGATTGACATGTTGGCGTTTGCATATGTCAGGCTGTGTCATATGTCACTGTTCCATATGATGTTAGACCGGTCGCAAGACATCTAGTCACTGTTTTTTTTCCGGTTTGGTGAGTGGGCATTGTCTCGCATGATCTAAGATGTGGAAGAGAGAATCCTGACTCTGGAGTTGTTTTTTGGCATCCAGGATGCTCATCTCAGAACATCCTAGCTAGGCTAGGCAGCCAGGCTAAAGTCATTTCAATGTCTTGCCCGAGTGAACACCCAGCACCGTGTGCTGGAGGTATGGGGTGCTTCGAAAGCTCCTGCAACTGCAAGAGGAGTTTCTCTCGTTGCCCAAAACCAAGGACCGAGATGTTGTTTTCCCTCTCTCTCTCTAACTCAATCAAGTTAAGTGTTTATTGAGTTTGTAGAGGGGCCGGTGAAGTTATAAGGCTTTTGATTGAACCACCTGAGCGGAGAAGTGTGCCGTGTAGGCCGAATTCCTTGTGTGTGAGACCAAGCAGGTTGGCGAATCAAACATACATAGTACTTAGTACTTGGCACCACTGGGTGTTTGTCATCAATCATATGAGAAGATGGAAGGGTGCAAGTATTATCCTTCTGATGTGGAGGCATGCAGGTGATATTTTTTATGCATTTATATAATTAGGCACTTTGCTCACATTATGAAGGTAAGAAAGAACCCCTGATGGAGAAAGCAAAAACAGCCAAACCTCCAAAGTTTATCCTGGCGAATTGTCTTTAGGCAACAGCGGTTGTGTTGATATTACAATGGGCCTTTTTAGATGGCTCGGCAGGGGTCTCTCGCATGAAACAGATGATATAGAGATCTATATAGTAAGAAGAGATGCCCATTCTTGTCATGTGTGGTTTGGCATGCCGGCGGCGCTGAAACCAACCATCCAGAATAAAACAGATATTGGCCATGCTCTACTTTTTGTTTGTCGCCGGAAATATGAAAGAATGCGTGGGTGCCATTCTCAGGTCTA